CAGCTTCTTCTCGTCTGTCTGCGGACTGGCCGAAAGTTGGTGACCGCGGAGAGGAGTTGAAGGCGAGTTGAACGCGAGACGTCGTCCAGCCATTATTCACGAACCAGCAAACACCAAACAAAGGAACTGGAGATACAGTTCATCTGAATGTAGTAACACACGTGTCTGTTTGTATGCTCGTCTTGCATGTACTGCTGTATCAGTCATGCCTATGACCTCACACGTGATTGGACGAGGAGTCTAAGGGTCCTCCAATCACATACGAGGTTATTGTTATACGGAAGGACCAGTATTTTAGGAAGACAAATGGTTGGGACTTTGAAACAGCTGATATGCTTTATGTAAAGCAGTGTTTTGGTGTCAGCAGAATGACTTTCCCTAGAAATCTGTACAGTGGTGCCTCTTTCTCCATTCCACCAGACAATGAGTCTGACAGACATGCAATGTTGACAATGTATCATCACATGTACCCTTGTGTCACTGAGGTTGAATGTTTTGCCATGACATGTAAACGGGTAACATATATGAATGTAACTTACTCAATCGATAGATGCAGAGCATAAAGGTCAGCATATGTTCATGCTAAGTGGTGTGGAAACACTAACAGTTTTGAGGAACCCGTCCTTGACCCGCTAGCAGAACTACGACCAGCCATTATAAAGCAGTTTATAGTTGTTAATGTTGTGTCAAAGGGTACGGCATTTAAACATGTTCTTGCACAAGTTTCCTGGCTTCATCTCCACCCGGACAGACATTTTTATGGAAAGCCAATAGAAGTTTGGGGCTTGCAGGGAACAGATACGTCATACAGCATCATTTCTGCCAGTTGAGCGCATTGCTAGAAGATGTACGGTTAATACATCCTCTGTGCATTTAAGTAAGACCAAAGAAAAGGTCACTGTAGTCCTGCCACTATGCACTGTAGTTGAGCTCTAGGAGACTGTGATCTCTGCAGACCCCTCATTCTGATTCAAATGTTGTTTGCATGGAATGCTCATTTTACCTTGATTAAAACTCATTTTTTAAAGAAGTTATTTTGTGTATCGTTTTTCACATAACATTTGCCATTGCTAATGGCGTACACAGTAATCTAGCATATTTGAATTAAATGAATCAATTCAAGCTCAAATGTAAGAGGCTACTGAGCCTGATCTATTTGTACCAGAGATTTTCTTACCTTTTAAAAAAATGTCACCTGGGCTAAAACTCCCTCTGCGACCCTGATTTGCATTTGTATAGCTCACAGCATTTTCATTTACATGTCAAAGCCTCCCCTAGAATTAGGAGGAGGGGGTCATGGGGGGACAACTGCCAAGGGAGGCCCACGTCAATTTCTGACAATTTACGGCAGTTTTCGGCGTTGCCGCAAACCTGAAATTCCACGACAATTTACAGTGCCGCATACTGCCGAAAATCCCACTTTTCATGCAGTATGAGATCCTATCAGAGCTCTGATAAAATGGCATAAGAGCAAAGAAAACTGAATGTTTTGCATCGTTATTTGTTATTTCTGAAAAGCACAAATTTTATTTATATTTCCAGGTTTTGTTTTGTTTTGCAGCATGTTCATATTTCTAACTTGTATCATTTTGACTGGAAATATTTTTATGGAGAGTAAAATCATTTGTGATATTTAAAATCTAAGGTTTTTTTTTATAAAATGACAAAAGCAAAGCAACTCAAATGTTTTGATTTGTTATTTATCCATCCATCCATCCATCCATCCATCCATCTTCAACCGCTTATCCGGGGTCGGGTCGCGGGGGCAACAGCTCCAGCAGGGGACCCCAAACTTCCCTTTCCCGGGCCACATCTACCAGCTCTGACTGGGGGATCCCAAGGCGTTCCCAGGCCAGTGCAGAGATATAATCTCTCCACCTAGTCCTGGGTCTTCCCCGGGGCCTCTTCCCAGCTGGCCGTGCCTGAAACACCTCCCTAGGGAGGCGCCCAGGGGGCATCCTCACCAGATGCCCAAACCACCTCAACTGGCTCCTTTCGACGCAAAGGAGCAGCGGCTCTACTCCGAGCTCCTCGCGAATGGCTGAGCTTCTCACCCTATCCCTAAGGGAGACGCCAGCCACTCTCCTGAGGAAATCCATTTCGGCCGCTTGTACCCGTGACCTAGTTCTTTCGGTCATGACCCATCCTTCATGACCATAGGTGAGGGTAGGAACGAAGATTGACCGGTAGATCGAGAGCTTTGCCTTCCGGCACAGCTCTCTTTTCGTCACAACGGTGCGGTAAAGCGAGTGCAATACCGCCCCCGCTGCTCCGATTCTCCGGCCAAACTCACACTCCATCTTCCCCTCACTCGTGAACAAGACCCCGAGGTACTTGAACTCCTTCACTTGGGGTAAGGACACATTCCCTACCTGGAGTAGGCAATCCATCGGTTTCCTGCTGAGAACCATGGCCTCAGATTTAGAGGTGCTAATCCTCATCCAGACCGCTTCACACTCGACTGCGAAACGCTCCAGTGAGAGTTGGAGGTCACAGACGGAAGATGCCATCAGGACCACATCATCTGCAAAAAGCAGCGATGAGATCCGCAGCCCCCCGAACTGTAGACCCTCCTCCCCCCGACTACGCCTCGATATCCTGTCCATGAAGACCACAAACAAGATTGGTGACAAGGCGCAGCCCTGGCGAAGGCCAACCCCCACCGGAAACGCCTTCGACTTACTGCCGAGCACCCGAACACAGCTCTCGCTTTGGGCGTACAAGGATTGGATGGCCCCAAGCAAGGACCCCCTCACCCCGTACTCCCGCAGCACCTCCCACAGTATCTCTCGGGGGACCCGGTCATACGCCTTCTCCAAGTCCACAAAACACATGTAGACTGGTTGAGCATACTCCCAAGCCCCCTCTATGATCCTGGAAAGAGTGAAGAGCTGGTCCGTTGTTCCACGACCAGGACGAAAACCGCATTGTTCCTCTTCCTCTTCTTTGTTATTTATATGTTTACTTAAAGCACAAGCACTGTCACCATTTTTTTTTCAAGCGGTTTTTTGCAGCATGTTCATATTTCTAACTTGTATAATTTTCACTGGATATATTTTTATGGAGAGCAAGATATTTTAGGTTAAGTTTAAGTTTATTTATTGCAGAATAACATTTCTGTCTGTTTGTATTTATATTTATGTTAAAAGAAACTTTTAGTTTTAGTGTGTTCAATAAATGTTTATTCTGTTCGGCCCGCGACCTGAAGTGTGTTTTGAATTTTGGCCCCCGGTGCAAGTTGAGTTTGACACCCCTGACCCAGAGAGTCACGTCTTTGTGTGTGGAAGTTGTTGGTTTGTTTATTTATTTATCATGGACTTTATTGCCTCGTGCTTTTTTCGCGGACATATTTGTCCCGTATTTTCCTCCACAACTTAGTGCACCTCTTGTTCTCCCTCCATGAATCGCAGTAGGACCGAGTGCGAAAAGTGGTCGGTGGAAGCTTCCTTTGTCCGGACGGCAGGCTCCGGTGGCCGGTGGCAGGTTCCCTTTTCGGAGCGGCAGGTTGCATTGGTCGGTGGTCGGTTCTTCCGGTGTTCGGTGGAAGGATCCTTTTTCAGTAGAGACATGGACCCGCGTCCTCCTCCTCATGCAAATCACATGTTAACGAGTATCTTCACGGCCACGCGTTCGCAGTAAATCATTGTTTCTAACTTTATTGAGAATCAGGCACAACACAGCGACCTGCAAGCAGCGCAGCGTCTTTAATAAAGTGATGTGTGTCTTAATGCGATGCTTTAGAAATGAACACACAGGGATTCTGTATTTGTTCATGAAGTCTGAAAAGGGTCATTTGGGCAACGTTTTGATAACCGACCGCAGCCAGCGGGGAGAGAGCACCAGCGGACTGACGGCAGCCCCCCACCCCGCACCCCCCTCCGCACCCCGGCCACACCGTCCACTCGACCACTAGAAATGGGTCATTTAGCGTGCGCGGTCGATCCACATGTCCCTTTATTGTTTTAGCGTTGCCTCTTTGATTATCGCCACCGTCCTACGAGGTGAACGGCGGCTCACATGAACCGTCGCCACCTTCCCGTGATGAAATTGCACTTCTATGTTCATGCTGAGTTTGTATCTGCGGTGGCGGGCGCGGTTTGGCTCGGCTGCAGGGGGGACGGAGAAGGGAGTGGTTCAGGGAACGGTGCCGGGGGAGGCATAGTCAGCCTCAGGTGGGACTAACCAAGCTGTGTGTTCTACCTTTAAGTGGGAGACATCCGGCGACAGCGAGACGGTGCTGAGAGGCGAGGAGGCTGGAGCCGGCTGTGTGTTATTGTGTGGGAACATTGAAATAAAGCACTTTCAATGGACCAGACGCTGCATGCGCATCATTCCGGGACCCCCCCACAGGACAAACCTGTCACAGTATCCTTATGTTTGAAATGCACTTATTGAAACCTCAGTCGCTTTGTGTTCAGATTTAAGTTTAATAGGGATTTGAGGCAGAAAAACAGGTACAAGTGTAGAATAAATTATTGTTGATAAGAATCTATTAAGAAGTGATTTAATAAAGACAGAACTGACATTTTAGCAGCTGTCTTGAAAGATCTATTGAGAAGTAAGTCATGTTCTTCAGGTACAGTAGTTGTGGACCAATATTAAAGTTTGATAGTGTGCTATTACTGATTTGTTTGTAGTATTCCAGTTTATGTTAACACAAAATTAACATTGTCATTGTGCTGAAAAAGGTGATCGGCGATCTCTGTAGAATATTTCCCAAAAAGAATTAGTGTCACATGACATGATCACCAGTGCCGCCATGCTTGTTAGTTGACCCTGTTGTTACATTTGTTACACAGTTTGTCCCATCAACGGATGATGGCATTGCACGATTTTAACACATCATACATAGTTATTTGGTCAAAAAGAAATAACTACATTGTACAAAAAGTGGATCCACATAGAGAATGCTTTTATGGTCAATGTATCCCAGAAAGAAAACGTAAAATATACAACCCTCCCGCCCCATGTTTAAAGATATACAACAGTATATAGATAAATTGTTTGACTAATACTACTTTCTTTTTATTATTTGATGTGTCACCATTGTCCTGAAAATCTGTGCTGACGAGCTTGCCCCATCTTCACGCTGATCTTCAACCGATCACTCGAGCTGTGTGAAGTCCCCTCGTGCTTTGAATGCTCCACCATCATCCCGGGTGCAAAGAATCCACCATCACAGGATTAAATGACTACAGGCCCATCGTCCTGCGCCTATGGTGATGAAACTCTTTGAGAAGCTGGTGTTGGGGGATCTGTTTGTTTGTGGACTTTAGCTCTGCATTCAACACCATCATACCGGGGGTTGCTTCTTCTACTCTCCCATCATGTCTACTCTCTGTTCTTCCATCGCTGTGTGGTTTGGATTGGCCACCAAACAAGACCACAGACTACAACGGAGAGAGAATGATTGCCACAAGACTGCCCTCCATCCTGGACTTGTACATCTGCAGGGTGAGGAAACAGGCAGGAAGGATTACTGCAGATCCTACGGACTAGGGAGACAACTTGTTAAATATAAGGTCAAATATATGTATTATGCATCATTTTGAATATATATTTTATATTGCATAGTTAAATTATTATTTCAATTTTTTATTTTATTATATTCCTGTTTATTGAATGAACTGTGTTTTGAGACCTGACAAGTAGGCGAAATTAAATTTGTACAAATACGCATATATGGGAAATAAAACAGATTCTGTTCTTATTTCTGAGTGACACAAAGTTGTTCCAACAGTGCTCCCTCCATGCAGGAAAGGGTCACTGCGACTGAAGACCCCATCAATGAGGTTAAATGTGATGGTATTAGTCTAATTTAGAACCTGCATTTTCATGAGGTCAAAAGGGGGAATTCACTGACATGGATCCTATTTCAGTTGGTGGAAAATTGTTAAGGATTGAATCGGACTGACCTAACGTTCATGAGTGGTAGATGTAATCACAGAGATTGACAGGCCGTGCACATGACCAGAACAGACTGACAGGTCGTTCATTACATTAGCTGACACTTTTATCCAAAGCGACTAAGGTTACAATAAGTGTGTAGCACTTGTCTGGGACTAGTATTAGGAAAAAGCACTAAATATCTACCTAGGATCGAAGGAGAGGTAGGTTTAAAACAAAGAAGAAGTTGAACGAATGACCAGTTTATTGCTTCACTCGGTCATGCAACAATCACAATATAAAACAGTGTGAAATTAAAAAACAAAAGAAGAGTAGATGATTGGGAAATTGTATGCTTCTTGTGAAAGAACTCAGTCTTCCCAGAGTAGATATATAAACAAGTCAAGGATATAATCCGTTCAGTCCGTAAATAGTGTGTGCGTGAAAGTTCCGAGTTCCGTTCTGGTCCGGGTCTTTATGTCTACTGTCTCTCTGAACTACCTTCCTACCGTCTACCTGGCGGCAGGACTGGAGTCTGACGTCTTCTCGATACACGAATCAGGTTGGGTCTGATCATACGGTCGGCCACACCGCATCCACGATCCGGGTTTAGCTCGCCATCTCAGCATTCAGATTCACAGGGTTCAGGTTCTTCTAGTGTGCATAAAAAACCAATCTACACAAAGTGCAGAATAATCAGTGTGCTTTCTAATTCTAGTTCTTACATGAGATCTCATTCATTTCTGTTCTATATGTATAACCATCACCCGGTTGCACGCAGATTACATTGAGATGATAAAACAACATCACAGAAATACTCTTATAACATTACAACTTCACTTAATAAGGTACAATTCAAAACTATACAGTATTCCACATCACTAACTAAAGGGTTTATCTTTTTCCCTTAATACGTTATGTGATTATATCACCATACTTAACATGAGAATAGCTTTAATTTAAGATATGCTTAGGCTATTTAGAGTCTATGCACCTGCAATGCACTTGCATAGCAAACCATTGCCATCTGCTACTTAACATAAGCTTCATGGCTGAACTGTAAATAACGCATCCTATAATATTCCAAACTGCAACGCAAAGACATCAGCGGTTTGACTCGATGTTTCCTACACGGTACAGTGAGCACCAGTGTGGGTTTAGCATTTACTCTTTCGTGTTTATAAAATTAAACACGGTGTTAACTATGGTAACAGGCTGCCGGAAACACTGACAACCACTCCGTTACTACTCCGATTGGTTCCAAAGAGATAACGTTTCAAATAATAACCTAAAAACAGTATTAATCCTCTCCCAGGTTCGCTAGCATGATGCTAGTAATGCTAACAGTGACTAGCTAACTGTGTTCACTCACCGGAGTTTCCAGTACGCGATTATTCGATGGGATTTTGTCAGTTGACACTCAACTGGCTCTCTGGTTGGAAAACCGTCTTATTAATATAATTAAATGTAAGCTTGAATGTTTTATATTATTTCGTACCGAAATCAGGGAGCTCTTTTCTTCACGTCTCCTGGAAGGATAAAAGGGGGCGACGTGGCGCGCGGGGGTGGAGAGGGGGCACTGGGAACCGCAAGGTTGGTGGTTCAAGTCCCGGCTGCTCCATGTCGAAGTGTCCCTGAGCAAGACACCTAACCCCTTATTGCTCCCAGGCAAAATGTAAATGTAAAGCCATGGGTTAAAAATGTAACGTAAGTCGCTTTGGATAAAAGCGTCAGCTAAATGAAAAAGGGATTCCTCGCTCGTGGGTTTCGTGGGTAGCTCCCTTGAGCGGAACGCAAGCGCGCCCCCCAGAGGCAATAACTGCCACTACTACTGGTATCAGTAGCCCTAACTTCATGAGGGTTACAAGTGCATTTCAAACATAAGGATACAAACTCAACATGAACATAGAAGCGCAATTTCATCACGGGAAGGTGGCGACGGTTCATGTGAGCTGCCGTTCACCTCGTAGGACGGTGGCGATAATCAAAGAGGCAACGCTAAAACAATAAAGGGACATGTGGATCGACCGCGCACGCTAAATGACCCATTTCTAGTGGTCGAGTGGACGGTGTGGCCGGGGTGCGGAGGGGGGTGCGGGGCGGGGGGCTGCCGTCAGTCCGCTGGTGCTCTCTCCCCGCTGGCTGCGGTCGGTTATCAAAACGTTGCCCAAATGACACTTTTCAGACTTCATGAACAAATACAGAATCCCTGTGTGTTCATTTCTAAAGCATCGCATTAAGACACACATCACTTTATTAAAGACGCTGCGCTGCTTGCAGGTCGCTGTGTTGTGCCTGATTCTCAATAAAGTTAGAAACAATGATTTACTGCGAACGCGTGGCCGTGAAGATACTCGTTAACATGTGATTTGCATGAGGAGGAGGACGCGGGTCCATGTCTCTACTGAAAAAGGATCCTTCCACCGAACACCGGAAGAACCGACCACCGACCAATGCAACCTGCCGCTCCGAAAAGGGAACCTGCCACCGGCCACCGGAGCCTGCCGTCCGGACAAAGGAAGCTTCCACCGACCACTTTTCGCACTCGGTCCTACTGCGGTTCATGGAGGGAGAACAAGAGGTGCACAAAGTTGTGGAGGAAAATACGGGACAAATATGTCCGCGAAAAAAGCACGAGGCAATAAAGTCCATGATAAATAAATGAACAAACCAACAACTTCCACACACAAAGACGTGACTCTCTAGGTCAGGGGTGTCAAACTCAATTTCACCGGGGGCCAAAATTCAAAACACACTTCAGGTCGCGGGCCGAACAGAATAAACATTTATTGAACACACTAAAACTAAAAGTTTCTTTTAACATAAATATGAATACAAACAGACAGGAATGTTATTCTGCAATAAATAAACTTTAACTTAACTTAACCTAAAATATCTTGCTCTCCATAAAAATATATCAGTGAAAATTATACAAGTTAGAAATATGAACATGCTGCAAAAACCGCCTAAAAAATTGTGACAGTGCTTGTGCTTTAAGTAAACATATAAATAACAAATCAAAACATTTGAGTTTCTTTGCTTTTGTCATTTTATAAAAAAAAAACCTTAGATTTTAAATATCACAAATGATTTTACTCTCCATAAAGATATCTCCTGTCAAAATGATACAAGTTAGAAATATGAACATGCTGCAAAACAAAACAAAACCTGGAAAAATTTGTGCTTTTCAGAAATAACAAATAACGATGCAAAACATTCAGTTTTCTTTGCTCTTATGCCATTTTATCAGAGCTGGATGCTTTGCATCTTTTTTTTTGGCAACAAGTTGGTTTATGTTTGGCGCGAGGTCCCGTGTTGTGGAGACTCTCAGGATGGACTGAAGGTTCATCAGTGAGACGACTCCTGTGTGCTGTTTTGTTCGTCTTCACTGAGAACAGCTTCTCACGCAGATATGTGCTACCAAACATGCACAAGGTTCGATGTAGACGGAGCTGGGACATTGCTGCGGGACTGGAGCGAATAAACAGTGTCGGACTTTGTCTTTAGTGTCCCATCACACTGCAGCTCAATCAGCTGCATCTGCATCTGCACAGGTGCAGTTTCCACGTCGACGGCAAATTGGTTGCGAAACAACTCAAAATTATTTTTTTGTTCCTCAAAATCACCAAAGCGCCGCGCGAACTCCGCGCGCAGTGCGCTTGTCACAGGGTGAGGTCAAGTTGGGTTTTTGTCGGCATGTTTTGGTCTTGTCATTTCCGTTTTATTTTGAAAGTAGTAACCTTCCTCTCGTTTCAGGTCACTTGCCCTTCCTCATGTCACCAGTCGAATCGTCTCCCCTGATTCCTGATTGTGTCCACCTGTTTCCCATTACCCTCATGTGTCTTATAGTCTGCGTCTCCCTTTGTCTTGTGCCTGAGTGTACCACCGTGCGATCACCCAAGCCTCGCCACAGCCACAGGATTTGTTTATACCATTGCCTTGTCTCGGAATGATTACCCCTTTATGTTTTTCCTCTGAGTAAGAGTGACCTTTAGTTTGAGCTTCTTAGATTTAGTTTTTAGCGCACTTTCGAAGCCGTTCGTTTTCCTCGTTTAAGAGAGATTTTAGTTTGTTAACTTTCGTCGGAAACGCTGACAGCTCATAGCCGTTTGTTTGTTTTTTCACGACGCGAATAAAGACGCCTAACCCTCTGCATCTGAGTCCTCATTTTAATCTGGTCCTGACAGCGCTCAGTTTATCAGCAACGTGCGTATTTGGGAACACCGCTGTGCCGCATTAGTTGGCAACAGGGAAAGTGGGGCAAGTTGCACTGGTGCATTTGTGTCTCCCATAAAATCAGCTTCACTGGAAATGCCTTCACTGCGTCATACATGTCAGTGATCATGCGGTCACGTCCCTGGAGCTGGAGGTTTAAGGGGTTGAGACGAGCGGTTATGTCAGCCAGAAACGCCACGGAAAGCGCTCGGCAAGGCAGCTGAAGCGCTGCATTATGGGATCTGTAGTTTATTCTGATATCGTCGGGCCATTAGTAACAATAATATAAAATGAAGTGTGTGTCTGTTCAAAATGAAGAAACGCCGGACGGACAGAGGGCATCGGTGATCGAAAGGTTAAAATCAAATGTATTTAATAAAAGAAAGGTTGTTGTGGTAAAAGTAGTGAGTAGGGTTTCCACCTTCAATACAAAATAACGCTGCGATCCCCGGTGATTCCTCCCACTCTCGTCGGTACTTTTGCATCCGCTTTCGGTTCAGAGCTGGACGCGGGCGGATGTGTCTGAGCCATAGATATTATATACAAAGGCCTTTATATATAATATCTATGTCTGAAGCTGCCTCCGCCATTCTTTCAAATCCAACCTACGCCAAGAGACCCGCCCTCCTCTGACTCTGATTCGCAGCGTGAAGGAGTGCTAACTTTTTAATAACGGATCAAAAATATTAATGCACGCGTTTTAAAAAAAGACAACAAGGAAATTGTGTTCATAGCGGTTTGGGATATTTTTGTTGATTTCCGAGATTCAAGTATAGTTCTCCTTTTTGTGTGTGATACAGTGGAGAAAATAAAGTATTTATTTTGCAGGAATGTAACCATAGAAACCATTTGATGACATCCGACATAGTGTCATTTGATGTCATCACTCTTTGATCTTGCAATGTAACCATATATGGCATAAATAGCAACCATTTCACACTGTGTGATGTCATCACGTTTCCATGGTTACATGCCTGTCATCTGATCTCATCAGTCTTTCCTTTGATCTGGCAAGGCATTCCATTCCATAACTCAGAACATAACAGAAGTGCAGAGCTCCTGAGAGCTGAAGTTGAACATCTGTCTAATTTTGAAAAAACGTTTTACCCCCAGTACAAGGACTCATCTGCACAATGTCAGGTGAGGTTTCCTCAGACATGGACAACTCCAGCAGTGAGGAATCATTCTGTATGGAATCCAACTCTGAAACTCCAACCTCAGCGGAACCATTGCAGGAAAAAGAGCTCTCCATACTCTGCAACAAGTCTGTACAATACAAAGTATTGGAGTTTATTGGAGAAGGAACTTTTGGCAAAGTAGCCAAATGTGTCAATTTGAAAGCAAATGAGAACACGGCCATGAAGATCCTCAAAGACGTCAATGATTATGCCATCGAAGTACAAATGCTGGAAAAGCTCAGGAAACTTGATACAGAGAAAAACAACTTGGTGGGATTCGTGGATAATTTCATAGTCGATGACAAGTCTTGCATCGCTTTTGAGTGTTTAGACAGGAGTCTTTACGATTTGATGGAACAGAGAGAGGCACCATTGACTCTTAATGAAATCCGTCCTATAACTCGTCAGCTACTTGTAGCACTCAACGCCCTGAAGGGTATCGGCATCCTTCATGCAGACGTAAAACTTGACAACGTTATGCTCGTCAACCACCAAGATGAGCCCTTCAGAGTGAAATTAATTGACTTTGGTTTGGCCATGCCAGCCTCCGAAGCACGGGAAGGAATGATTGCACAACCTATTGCATACCAAGCACCAGAAGTGTCCTTGGGCCTCCCCATATCTGAAGCCATTGACATGTGGTCACTGGGATGTCTCTTGGCATCTCTGTTTTTATACCAAGACATCTTCATTGGTGAATCTTTGTACGACGTAATGAACACTGTTTGCTGTCTGCTCGGTCAGCCACAAGACCACCTGCTAGATGCTGGAAAATACACTCACCAGTATTTCAAGAGGGAACGCTGCTCTCCCAATTCACAATGGAGACTGAAGACACCGGAAGAGTACAAGAAGGAAAATGATGACCAGCTGCAATTGTCAGAGTGGGAATTTGACCGAATTGGAAATTTGGCTGACGCAGTAAACAAATATTCAAATGCAATTGAGGAGGTTGAAGTTGAAGACACAAGGGCATTTTTAAATCTCCTTCAAATGTTGCTCAATCCAGATGCTGAGATGAGAATAACACCTCAGCAAGCCTTGGAACATTCTTTTGTCACCATGAGTCACCTGGCTGACTACGCTCACAGAAGCTCTTATACACAAGCTGCCTTTGAGCTGATGGTCGTCTGCCCTGCGTGTGATTCAGACGAATGTCATGAATATCTCAGCGATTTTGAAAGCGACACGGAATCATCTGACTCAGGAAAGGTTTCCTCA